CCCTTCCTGCAGAGGCATCCGGCTTACATGTTACCCAGGGCCCCTGAACATGCTCTGTATATGCAGCTGGCCACAGGGACATGGAACGCCACACCTTCTGGCACCCCAGGCAAGTCCATTGCGACTGGGGCAGGGTCAGGCCAGGGCAGTGGGACTGTGGGAAGGAAGCCGTGTGGCTTCCTTCTGCTTGGAAAGTGTGCCTGCACCCTGCGGTGGTCCTCAATGACAGGACAGGCCCTCTGGCCAGAGCCGGGTCAGTTCCCGCGGTCTGGGCCGGGATGGCCATCCGGGGGTGGGAGGTGGAGTCCCCTGGCTGGGAGCCTGGGAACCACATGGGAAGGGGGAGGATGCAGAGCAGGGTCAGTGACCTGCAGCCAGGGCCTGGCTCTCTGAGAGCAGGGCAGTCCAGGGCAACATGTGTTTTCACTCTTGGGCTGGCGGCCCTGAGAGGCAGATTGTGCAACTCCGGGCCTGTGCTGAGCACCGCAGGGAAGGCCTGGAGGAAGAGACTGCCCACGTGCCTTTTGCTGTCATCTACCCTGTGTCATCCAATGGCCAGGGTGCAGGACGGACTTCGACAGCTCAGCAGGCACAATGCCTAGGCCGCTCCGAAGGGCCCCGGAAGGGCTTGCATTTCTTCTAAAGTATGAAGGAAAGAAAAATAGCAGAATCTAGCTTTCATTGTTCTTATCCTGGTAAAAGATCTTTGTTAATGTATTTTTTTAATAAAGGAAAGGGTCCACAAGGATAGGGAAGATCAGGGCTGTTTGAATGGGGGTCCCTCCCACCCGCTCAGGTAAGGCCCGGGCTGTTTGCCACCTTCTGCCCTCCTCTGGCTGCACCAGCCCTGGCTCTAGGCCCCATGATTCCACCCAGGGAACCACAGGTGGTCTGTGACTCCACGGAATACTCTTCTCACACGTGAGCCTCTTGTTCTTCTTATTTTGAGACAGGATCTTGCTAAGTTTCCCAGTCTGGTCTTAAACTCAACATCCTCCCGCCTCAACCTCCAGAACTATTAAGTGTGCACCACCACACTCAGCTCCGTTACCTCCTATGATCACGGGGAAGGCTGGCCTCCAGCACAGGTGCGGTGTGGGGTCAAAAGTCCTGGTTCCGACACTTACCCACTGGGTACCCAAGGCAAGTTCTCTCTCCACCCCTGCCTCCTGATGAGGTAGTAAGAGCACCTACCTCCCAGAGCACTGAGAAATTTTGATGAATGGATATCCTTTAATCACGCAAATGTTAATTAATATGAGACTCAGTTTCCTGACCTTAAAATGGAGCTGAAGACAATACTTACCTGGTATAGTTGTGATAGATTAAGGGAGTGATTGTTTTCACAGCCATCAAGACTGTGCACTACCCTGAAAATGCCATCTATGTGTTCCCTAGAAATACTGCTTGATATCTGAGCTCTGTTGGGCTGGGCACGGTTCTGCTCTCCCTGGTACCCCCAGCCCCAGACACTTGAATATTTGATGAATGAATGAGTATATTCTGCTCTTTCTTAAGCCAGTGGGTTTCTCTCTGCTGGAAGCCGTCCATACTTTAGCACGAAGTACGAATACCACCTTTGCATAACTGAGAGCTATGTCCACTGCCTTCTTAGGGTAAGTTCCTAAGCACTTGAATTCTTTGTATTTATCTATTTATTTTGGCGGACAAAACATTTTGAGACAGGATCTTGTTATATGGTTCAGGCTGGCCTTGAACTCACAAGTTGCCCAGGCTGGCTTTGAACTCTCTGACATCCTCCTGAGTGATGGGATTATAAGCATGTAGCACCACACCATTTTAAAAAATAGTTTTAAAGGCGCCATTTTCCTCTTTTCCTTAAAGGAGAGGAGCCCTTGGCAGGAAGCCCTGAGCACCAGTCTGACCCCAGCAGGCCCTCAGAGCAGGCGGGTAAAGGCCTGGCTGGCTCCGGGTCTTCCCCGGGACTTGCCGGCCCTCAGATCTGCAGGAAGTTGCCCAAATGGCTGTGCAGGAGGACAGCCTGCTGAGAAGAGGTCAGGTTCAGGCTGCCAGAGCTCAAATAAACTGGAAGGGCATCCAAAGCGCAGTTTGGAACACGATGTCCTGAGGCTTGGCAGGAACCGGGAGGGTGTGGCCGGGCTCCTGATGGGCCCCAGGCTGGCCCGGCTGTCGGGCTGAGGCTCTGCTTCCCAGGGCGGAGGATTGCTCTGAGTTTCCTTCTCCTCGCAGGGCTTTTCCTTCCCACGGGACCTGCAGGCCGCAGTTTCTCTGAGTGGCGATCCCCTGCCATGAAGACTTTCGTTGGATGAGTTATTGTTGCAAGGAATTAACCGCCAGGTCACAGCCCTGACCAAATGCCACTGCGGAACTGGAGTCTCGACCAGAGAGCACTTGTTGAGCGCCAGTGGTGTGCACAGAGGACAGCGCTTTGGAGCTCAGACCCTCGGGGCCCTGGGGGAGCGGCCCTAACTTTGGCACATCAGGGTTAGTCCCTTTTAGGGTCGTGATGGGTAAATTCCTTCCCCAGGGCAGGGCGCTCCCTCCTGCCACTTCTCAAAGGCCAAAGCTCACAGGATAGGCGACTTGCCTGAGGTCACACAGCCAGGAGGTCTCGGAGTGGGGGCTGGGCCAGGCAAACTGGCTTGAGTCTATATCCTGACACCGCCTACTGTCACCGTGTCACCTTCTGTCAGCCTTGCCCCTGGCTCACCACAGCTCAGAGCCCGGGGCAGAAGGCTGTGTTGGCTTTCTGCAGAAATTGATAGGAGAGACACATATCTTAAAGATTTCCTTTATTCTTTGCTTTTCTCAATCCTAATAAGCATGAATCATGCTACCAGAATACAGCATTTGTTAGTTTTGTAAAAACTCTGAACTGAAGTTCAGATGCGGAGGTGGGAACAAGGAAGTGGTGACTGGTGAGGTCAAGGGGGATGCTGGGGTGTGGCTGGGTGACAGCCTTGTCACACAGGGCTGCGTGGAGTAGGCTACAGTCACAGACCAGCGCTGCTTGGGAGGGAGACCGCCCAAGTCACATGTGGAGTCCTAGTAGCCATATGGGACAGGAAAAGGAAACGTTACAGTCCATGACTGATACAGTTTTTTGAGCCCAACATAGCCTAAATGTCAGCAGTATAAAAAATTCCTAGGAAATAGGAATTTTCATAAATCTTTAAAACGCAAGGCAAATTTCCTGCTGAGGGCAGATCTGGTTTGGACGTGTCCTGTCTCATGTGTCACTGGTCCCTGTGACAAGGGATTCCTGAGAGGGACGATGCTGACACGGAGGTGCCCCGGCCATGAAACTGAGTGACAGATGCCTCGCAGCTATGTGTAAGGCTCTGGTGATGTCACAGGGGACAGAGGGACTGACAGAAGCGCATCGTGGAGCTGGCCTCCCAGTGTGGGTGGACAGTGACAGGCAGATGAGTACAGGGCGGAGAGCGTCTGTCCCAGGTGCACTGTGGTGAATCAGAAGCCAGCAGAGCCCAGGGACTGCAGCCTAGCCCTGGGGTCAGGGAAACCAGACCCAGAGAGCTCACGTGTGAAGACGGGAGAGGCAGTGGGTGCAGATATGGGGTGGGGACCCCCCAGGACAAGGGCCAGGCACCTGCACGAACAGAGCTCAGGCTGGAGTGTCCTCCGGCCAGAGGGGCTGGGCGCTCCCGCAGAAATGGGGCCACCCACGGACAGAGAGGCAGGAAACGGGCCAGGAGCAGAGCTTAATGTTCTAGGAGGCTGTGGCAGGGATTCCAGCAGGAAGAGGGGAAGGAGCAGAAAGCCTGCGGGAGGTGTGGCTGTCCCGGGAGAATTGGGCAGGGGGTCCAGCCGCAGGGGAGTGCGAAGCGTCTGGGGAGCACGACTCGGGATGATCCTAAGCATGGACCTCAGCCTTCACCCTCCCCTAGCACGGCAGCCTGGGGCGCAGCTTCTGGTTCCATCCCCTGCCTTACAGGTGGGGAAACTGAGGCATGCTGGGGCCTTCTCAGTGGAGCCCTGCTCCCCAGCCTCTGGGAACCCTCTGATTTCTCTGTGAGTAGCAGCCTTGGCGGGATGGGGGGCGGATCAGAGAGTGGGGTGCTCAGAGCAGGCCCCTCAGGCCTCAGCACGTGACTTCAGGACGAGGGAATGGAGGAGTGTTCTAGAGACAAGGTTAAGGCCGGGACCAGGGCGGGACCAGGGGGAAGTGGGTGAGGCCTGTCTGGGACACAGTGCTGGAGCTGCTCCTCCCTGCTCCCTGGAGCCTTCTCAGTCCTGCAGTGAAGCCCACTGAGTTCAGGTTGCTCCAGTGCCTAGGGTCACTGTTGAGTGTCCTGGCTGAGCTCTGCCTGGACATCAGAGACTTTGCCTGTCTCCAGGCCAGGGGAGACTCCCCCTGCATTACAGTGGGGCCCACCTCTCAGATTACACGAAGGAAGTGTGGGTGGTACCAGCCCGGTGTGAGGTGTGCTGGCAGGAGGACGGAGCCGCTTTGCCGGGCCCTAGCTCTGTGCGGGCACAGCTCCTGGAAGCTGAACTCCATTGCCCCAAGATCCCAGGCCCCGCCACCTTTCTTGCTTTGCACCTCAGTGACAAGATAATCCGGGGTTCCAACCTCCACTCTGCCCTGCTGCGTGACCTCAGGCAGGCAGCATACCTCCTTTTCCACATCCTTAAAATGGGTATCACATCACTCCCTGCTCAGCTGGGCACGAGAACAGCCCACAGAACGTGCTCATGAGCGTCTAAGTGTGGGACATGGCCCCTCACACACTGCCCCTGCGTGGCACTCTTGGGACAGATGTGACCAGCTGTGCTTCACGTGCACGGGGTCTCAGGATCTGCACAGTCTTGCTGCCCAAGTCAGAGGGCAGAAGCCCAGGGTCTCCCCAAGGCCACCCACCCAGCAGCTGGTCCCATGGCAAGTGTTGTGGGCAGACAGTTTGCAAACTTGGTGGAGGCAGCTCAAGTCCCACCCACCCTGGGCGGCCCCAGTCTACAGCCAGTGCACCTCAGAGAAAGGCCATCCCGTCCCGCAGGAACAGATCATTAGTGAGAGTGCAGGGTGGCAGAGCCACTGCCAGCCCCTCAGATAGGCAAGCCCTGCTGGAGCCACAGCTGCCCTGGCGGGTCAGACGGAGGCCAGAGGTTAGAGCGCAGCCTAAAAATAACCTGGCAGGCCAGCTGCTGTCTAGGGATGCATGTGACACTCTGGACCCAGGAGCCAGGGAGTCCCGGGGAGGGGAACTTCTGTTCCCCTTCAGGCCCCAACCCACGCCCAGTCCCTCTTTTCCCAGGGTCTGCAAGGTCTCTGGCTGGAGGAAATGCTTTGCAGCAGCCGCAGGATGGGCAGCTCCGGGAGGACGGTCCTCTGGGCTCTCTGTCTCCTGCAGCTGCTGGCAGCCGGCTCTGCCAAGATCATCTGGAAGCGTGCCCTGCGGGAGAGGCTGCCGGAGAGGTCCCACGTGAGTGCCCAGGAGCCGCGGGCGTCCTCTGCGGGTGGGAGTGGCAGGAGCAGGACATCTGGTGCTGAGTTCTCCTGCAGGTGTCTCCTCTGAGTGCAAGAGGCGTGTGGGTGTCAAACAGACAGACTCCTGTCCTCCCAACCCAGCCTGCAAGTGGGGAGCAAGGGCACCTCACTGGGTGTGCTGAGGGATTGTGCCTGGCTTGGGACTTGGTGCCAATACTTACTTTCTCCTGGAAATCAGCACCTCTTAAAGGGTCCACCGACCTGAAGCACTGTTTTGTCTCCGCCATCCATAAGCCGGTGTGTGTGAAACAGAACTGCATGTTTATATGATTTATACATTCAGTAAACTTCAGGCAGCGGTCCTGGGGAGGCATCGCGGGGGCCCTGAAGGTGACTGCAGCTCCCACCCTGGAGGCTAGGGCAGGCAGTCTGGGGTCAGATGACCACAGCGCCCAGTAGGGCCCAGGTATCAGGCTCCACTTCCCTGGCTGTGTGACTTCAGGCGCTATCTCTGAGCCCTCACAATCATCAGGAGAGTGGCTTTTGTTTCGGGGTGGGTCTCTAGGACACAGTGGGGCTCCTTAGTTCCCTGAGTGCAGTTAGTGCCAGAGGAAACACCACCCTTCGTTTCCTGGGGGACCCTGTAGGGGTCTTGGGGAAGGGCCAGTCTTGGAATCTCTAATTCTTTCTCCTCGCTGAGTGTCAGTGTCCTTGTCTGTAGTGTGGCGTGGCAGTGCCTCCTTCACAGGGCTTGGAGACAAAATCCAAGAGCTGTTAGCCCAGTGCCCGGCTCAGAACTGTGTTCCCTACATGTGTATATATGCACACACATGAATATGCGTAGAAATACAGGTATGCATATAGCAGAAGCAAAGATTTGTGAGATCAAATCGAACAGAAGCAGAATGTTCGTGAATGGCTTGGCAGCCTTCCTGAGTGGCTTGGCGTCGGTTCTGTCAGCTGGACGTTTCAGGCTTTTCTTTCCTCACATTTGATGAAATGGTGAGCAACCCTCTAGGAGCACTTACTCTGTGCCAGGCCAAGCATTTGCCATGCTTAACTCTGGGGAATCTCTTGACCAGTACTCTCGGTGGGGCCCACTGCAGCTCCCATGCTAGCCCGGGACCAGTGCCCTGATGGTCCTTGCTGTCACGACTTTGGGTCTCTGGTCTCCTAAGTGTTATTCAGGACAGCAGAAAGGGTTGCTCAGTTTATGTCCTGCCCAGAAGTGCTTGTCCCACTAGCAGCTGTGCAGGGCTGCAGAGCCAGGGGCAGAGGGCACCTCTTCGCACTACACCCTGCCAGCCTGGACCCTCTTTGTAGTTTGGCTGCTTGGGGCATCGGGTTGGTGATGAGCACAAAAGAGTCAGACATGGCAATAAAATTTGTGCTCCTCACTTCCCCAAGCTGGCTCTCCTTTCCCCTGTTACTTCTTTGGGCTTTCTTTTTCTTTTTTCTTTTGGTACCAGGGATTGAACTCAGGTCCTTGCGCTTGCAAGGCAGACCACCGAACTGCTGAGCTAAATCCCTGGCCTTTGAGCTTTCTTTATCCATTTGTTCAGTGGTTCTGGGATGGACCCCAGGGCCTCACATGCTAGGCCAGTACTCATCTGCAGAGCTGCACCCCAGCCCTCTGTGAGCTCTCCTGCACCTTCCAAAGAATTCCTTTCCTTTTTCCTAAATAGCAAGAGTGGGTGAGGCAGGTGGGGTGTCAAGTCCCTGCATCTGCACCTCTTGCTCCTGCCACCTGAGGCTTCCTCAGTCTGCTGCCCCACCTGAGCTTCCTGGGACAGCCTGAAAGCTAGCTGTGTCAGGGTGCTTCATCCTGTAGGACTGATGTCCTTAAAAGAGATGACACAGAAACAAAGATGCAGCGAGAAAAGCATGGGAAGATAGACAAGAGACAGAAGTAGGGTGTGTGTGTGTGTGTGTGTGTGTGTGTGTGTGCGCGCGCGCGCACGCGTGCGCCATGCAGCACCAAGGAGCCCCAGAGGGATCCAGACCCAGCCCACACCTGATCTCTCACTCTGGCTGCAGAACCATGGAGACTAAGTTCATCTCAGTGCCTGGGGCTTAGTTTTAACCTCCCTACCCCATCTCAGAGAAGCAGAACCAGGCCACTCCTGGGAATAAAGAGAATCATGGTAGTCAAGGTGGCCCTGACTGGTAGACATTTCTCAGAGCAGGAAACTGGGCCCAGAGCGCCTACTCCTCCACCATTTGGGCCACGGTGACAATGCTGTCACTTTACCAGAGTCCCTGGAAAGATGGGAGACCACATGTCCCGTGCTGCAAGAAACCGTCATCAGACCACCGAGACACCCCTGTTTGGAGGAGCAGTGCCCTGCAGACCCAGGGGGTGGATGCCCATGGCCAAGGCCCTGGCAAAGTCCTGGGTTCACCCAGCTATCGGAAGGGAGGGTCGAAGCCGCAGGAGTGAAACGGGATCCCCCAGTCCCAGTCCGTGCCAGCCCTGGCCTGGATAGAAGCAGTGAGAAGGAAATGAGCACTGAGACTTTAGGGCGAGCTGGGCGGACCCCCGTCTTCTCTCTGGGCCTGGGCGTGAGAAGAATCCAGGCCCTGTGTTCCGGGGAGTGTCTTATTCTTAGAACTTTGACGTCCAAATTCCAGGGGAAGGGAAAGCAATGCTTAGAGGAAAATTGGCTCTTTTCCTCCACCAAGCAAACCAGTCCTGGGGTGCATATTTATTAGGCTGGCCGTTAAGTTGCTGCTGGAACATTCCAAAAAGGGTAAAGCTTTTACACATGAAACAAAGGGTGGTGAGTGCTGAGGGAGAGACGTGCAGGTTGCATTCTTTTTCCCTAAATGGAAATGGTATAACACATTTTTTTCTGATTACTGAAATAATGATGTTTACTGTAAAGAAAAAGTCAAACAGCACAGAAAGTTACAAGGAAGTAAAAATGATCTAACTTTTTCCTGCAAGACATAAACTCTGTCGAAATCATTGCAGGGGGTGTCTAGACTTTTCCTGGAAGCAGTTATGCACAGCACTGTTTGGTTTTTTAGAGGCATTTTATTCCTAGCATTTAAAAACTTTGTTACTGAAATGAAACGCGCTTATGTAAATCACTCATTTAAAGTGAGCACTTCAGTGGGACCGAGTACATTTTCACTGTTGTGTTACCATTACTCGCCTATTGGCAAAATACTCTGTCACCCCAAAGGAAACTGTGCGGCTGTTACGCAGTTGACCTCCATTCTCCGGCTCCCCCAGTCCCTAGCACCCGCCCTGGGCTTCCTGTCTCCGTGGACTTGCATGCCCTAACGCATACGGAAATCACACACTGTGGACTTGTGCCTGGCTCACACAGTTTTACACCCTGTATTTGCACGCAGTCCTGTTCGGTAGGTCCCTGCCCTTTCCCTGAGGCCTGCAAGATGTCTCCGAGCCTGGATGTGATATTATTTATTCACGCAGCCTCCTCTGGCTGGAAAGCCAGCTCCTTTGCTTTAGTCGAACCCCAGACTGGAACGTGCGAATTGGAAAGTGCCTGTGTCACAGAGGCCGGAGCCCTGCATGGTCGGCTGGAGCTGGGACTGGGCTTGTGGTGCTTGGGGGACCTCAGTGAGGCTGGGGCAGCGTGGCTCAGGGGGCGGGACCACGGGCCAAGGACTGCAGCCTCTGGGGGAAGAGGTTGGAGCACGAGCTCTTTGTCTGTTTACGTGAAAGGCCTTCTCTCTGGAACCTGAGAGACATCCTTGCTCAGAGCCCTCCCTGAACATCACCTTGCAGGACACCAAACCTTCTGCGAATGTCAACTCCCCTCCAGCCCCTCCATCAGTCAGGTCTTTATCACCCTTCACCATCTCTTGTTCCGCTCCTGCATAGTGGTGACTGGCAGATTTGACGTCCCAGGTGCTTGTCTCTTTTGTTATGTCCGTATTCTGAGAAAGAGCATTTGAATTTCTGTCAGAAAACAGTGGGTCGCCCACACTGGATCTCCCCACCGACCCGAGGCTGGGCCGCCACTGTCACCTCCCTGGATGCCCGGCAGTGGGGTGGGGGCCTTGCTTCTGTCCCGGGTGCCATCCATCCCCCAGATGAGACCTGATACTCAACAAGTGAGGCAGAAGAATGAGCCGCCCTCTCTGAGGGTGCCCGGGGTGTTCTGAGTCACCCTGCAGAGGGGGCCGGTCCACTGTCACCTTGGATCAGAATAAAAACCGGCAAGGCCCCAACCCGGGTCCAATTTCGTTAACTCTGTAGAAAATGATGGAGAACCATTGATGTGGGATGACAGCCCTGCTGGCAGCTTGGAATTTGTGAGTGACGGTACAGGAATGCAGGGGGCAGAAGAAGGAGGTGCCATAAAGACCAGTGTGGGTTAGGGACCCACGCCTGGGACTCCCCTGGTCTTCAAAGGAGCCCCTCGTCTCTCTAGGCCTTCTTTTCCTTCTCTGCCAAACCTCAGCAGGGCCTCACCAGCTCGCTGAGTTGCCCAGGCTGGGCTTGAGCTTGAGCTCGTGGTCTTCCGGATCCCTGGGTCACGTGGCTCTCTGGTTAACGCCTGCCAGACGGCTCCCCACTGTGGCTGCTCCAGGTCGAGTTCCCACCGGCAGAAAGCTTGTGTGCTCCAGCCGGCCGAGTCTTCTCCGGCCCTTCCTGTTTTCCGTTTTAGCCGTGGAGCTGGGGGTGGGGGTGGTGATAGCATCTCTCACTGTGGTTGTGACTTGCATCTCCCTGGTGGCTAATCATGTTGAGTATTTCCCCCCCATGTAATTTTCGGCTGTCTGAGTAGCTTCTCCAGGGAGATCTCTATTCAGATCCTTTGGACCTCTTTTGATTGGGCCATCTTTTTCATTCCTGAACCGCAAGGGTTCTCATTATATTCTAGATGCCAGTCGGGATCTGATTATGATCGTGAAGTGGGAGATAGCAAGAGATCTGGGAATAAGCCATGAGTGGGAGGTGTTCCGGCAGAGCGGTGGATAAGTGGGAAGGCAGCCAGGGAAAGGGCCGGGCCAACAGTGGGAGTGGGGTGACCGAGTAAACGCTAACCCGACCCCTGACACAGTGGCCAAGGTCAGGGCACCAGAGCCTCCACAAACAAAAGCCTCATGCGATCGGCAGGATTTTCTTGCCCAGAAATAAGATATTCATACTTCTCTATAAAGAATGTCTTGTTCTGGTTAAGGTTACAGTGAATGGTGCTTACAAAAGTACCCCTGCTACGTTCTCCGAGTTCCTATAAGCCCATGTCTAAGTCCTGCTTGTAACCCCATAGGCCGATCTCAACTTGTCCGGGAGGTAGTCATCTGCGTGTCCAGGGGGACACAAGAGGCCCTTGGGCAGCTCCTTTGAGTCCCCCAACCCAGATTCATTTGCCTGGGGGCTCTTTGCGTTTGCTTTGCAATATGGCTGTGTTCTACTCTTGCTCTATGATAAAATACTTTTGCTCAGTCCTCTTTTGACTCTGTTCTACGTGGTAAATCTTTCTGGGTTGAGAATAGAACCCACCAACCAGACGGTAACAGATTGAATATTTTCCCGTCCGCTGTCAGCTGCCTTTCGATTTTCTCGTCGCTGTGCTCTGAAGGATGGAGGTCTTCAGTTTTGATGAGATCCGACTGATCACCTTCTCCTTTGCTGCTTGTGCTTTGGGTGTCATTTCTAAGAACCACTGCCCAACCCAAAGCCATGAGCTGTATTCCTGCGTTTTCTCCAAAGAGCTGTGTGAGTCCAGTTCTCACAGATGGGCCTTGGATGCATTCCGGGCTGTGTTCTGTGTATGGAGCTTGTGGAGGCACGAAGGCATCACTCCATGCAGATACCCAGACGTCTCAGCACTGTTGGTGGAAAGACTCTTCTCCGCCCAGTGCGCTCTCCTGGTTCCTGCTCAGAAAAGGCAGCATCAGGTTGTGGAGTCACTACAACTGGATTCAGACCCAGCCTCACTTCTCAAGGCTCTGTGACCGCACGATCCGTTTCCCCTCTGAGCCTTGGACAAAATTAGGGCCACGAGACCCAGGCATGAAGTGGTTGGAGGTGTTTTTATTTTATTTTTGTTTTGTGTGTTTGCATTTGCTTGTTTTTGCTCACTAATCTGCTATTCGTCCTCATTACAAGATGACGGAAAATGCCAAAAATGAATATATCTTGCTTTTCTATGCACTATGATGTCACGCCTTTTCCCTCGTCATTCATTTTTTTATACATACTTCTAGTATTTTTTAAGTTTTTAATTGCCTTCTTCACGTCCGTGGTTAAAAAAAAAGTTGAATAAATGCAAATGAGCATGGAGTGAAGAGAGGTCTCCCTCGGCTCCAGAACCTAATTCTCTCCAGAGGCGATCGCCCATACTGGTTTCTTGTGTGTCCTTTAGAAAGTGTTCTCAGAGCACACAAATGCACACAGTACATATCACATGTGTGCATAAAACAAAACAAAAATAAATAAATAAAATATAGCTAAATCGTAGCAAAAAAAAGTCTCTGTCATGATTTTCTTCCTGCACCACCATATCCCACTAACCTTTTGTGGGCAGCTCCCTGAGTCTGGCTTCTTGGTTTGAGAACACTCGCAGGGCAGGGTCAGTAGCTGCATGCCAGGGGACAGGTGCTCCTTATCAATTTGGGCAGAACCAGCCGGTGGGATTCCGAAACAGGTATGTGCTGGGGAAGGACTTGGGGCGTAAGGAGTTGAAGCATCTTAGATGCTCGTTATAGCTGAAGGGGGGAGCAGATTAACCTACTCTGTATCGCGCGCGCACGTGTGTGTGTGTGTGTGTGTGTGTGTGTGTGTGTGTGTGTAATGACCTTCCCTCCGCGTACCCCATTTTCAAATCTAGCAAGGCAGTATCACTGGCATGGGCAGGGTCTGGGGCTAGGGGGTACCCAGGGTTGTCTGCCTGCGATGACTTGAACCCCCCCAGCCTTCCTCCTAAAGTGCTTATTCTGAATGCATTTCCTATGTGTGAGCTGCATTTCATTGTTTAACATTTTATTGAAACAATATTGCAAAGTGCAGAAATCCTAAGCGTCCAGCTCCATGGACTCCCACAAAGCAAACACACTTTAAGCTGGATTCAGCGGGAGAGACAGGGAGGACTCCCAGCCCTGCCCAGCAGGTCAGTGCCCACCGGCAGCCTCTCCCTGACTTCTCAGACTGGCCTTGGGGCCTGGCTTCCAACCGCAGCGTGTGTGCAGGAGTAACCAGTGTTCTCTTGGGCTTGGCCTTTCCCGAGCAGCATGTTTGTGAGGTCTGTCCAGGTTGTTTGTGGAATTATTTGTCTTGTGATTTGTATTCCCAAAGCTATAGGGAAATATATGGATTATAAGGAACCTGGATGTGCATATAGAAATACATGTGTGTTTATATACGAGTGTGAATCTGCACACACACCCAGTTGTGCAGATACGCGTATAGCAAGATCCAGAGACACACATCTCCTGGGGCAGCCTCGGGGCACACAAACATCCGCAGCAAACACTCCAAGACCGCCCTGCTGTCCTCTTGCTGTGGGGGCTTTGCAGCAGGCTCAGGGTGGGACTGCCACACAGGAGCATGGCGCCTGTGACCCGAGCTGCCCATACCAGCCTGGCTCCGCCAGAATCAGTTTTTCACCGAGGAAGCCTGGGCTAAGAGAGGGCCTGCAACCTACCCAGGACCCACAGCCCAGCCCAGGTACTGCTGACCCTCTCCTGGCCCCGCAGGTGGAGGAGGTGAGTGCCCCCAGCCACCGGCAGCCTCGTGCCGACCACTGCCCACCACCCCCGAGGACCCTGCCCCCTGGAGCCTGCCAGGCTGTGCGCTGCCAGGCTGACTCCAAGTGCCTGCAACACCAGCGCTGCTGCTACAATGGCTGTGCCTACGCCTGCCTGGAGGCCGTACCACCGCCACCAGGTAGGCAGGGGTGGGGGAGGGGAGCCAGATGGTGCTCAAACTGGGCATTGGGAAAGGTAAGGGCTTGAACCCAGCCTCACTGCCCCACCCCATGCAATGCTAGTGGAAGCAGCTCCTTGGGCTCTGTCCACTGCACTTATGGAGCCCTTGCCATGTACTGGGCTCCTGCCTGAGTCCAGGGAGCCAACAGCCCAGTGTACCCATGGCAAGGACGGTGTTACCTCCCACGAGGACAGGGTAGGGTGAGATTCCTCCTTAAAAGAATCCAGATTTGGAGCTTTTCTATAAGCCATCCAGCCACAGTCCCTGGGCTCCAGATGGCCAGGTCCTTTAGTGACTCTGGACCCCACCAGGCCCTCTGGCAGGTGAGGCCCGGCCCTGGGGCTGTGTGGAAGAGGGCGCCCTCTAGTGGGGCAAGATGGAGCTCCAGTCGGTGGTCAGCAGTCACCTCCCAGCAGGGTGGAAACGGCAGTGCAGCTCAAGGAAGAGCGGTGAGGAAGGAGCGCTCAGCTCCCAGCTAGGGCTGTGCAGGACCAGACCCCCATCTCTCAGAGAGGTGCAGCCTGGGGTGCATCTGCTGGGAGAGGTCCCTCGTGAAGGAAAGTTTGGGAGTGGAGGAGCTGGGGAGGGTGACAGTGGGTTGCTGATAGCCCCTTCCATGGTGGGATTAGGGGCCCTGATGGGCATGAGTGGCGACAGAGCTTCCTGGGCCCTCAGCTCTGCCGGCTGTGATGACAGACGGAGGCTCCAGCCCCTGCCCCCAGGGCAAGGGAGTGTAGAAGGTGGGAATGACTGCACTGTCCCTGGGGTGAGGTCACAGCCAAGAAAAGGGCAGTGCTCAACTTCCCGCTTTCATAAGAGTGTGAGATGCCGCCCCCTGCTGGTGTAAGGCATTACAGGCGCTCCTGCTGAGTGGGCCAATAAGGGCACCCCTTCCTGTGGAATGCCACGAGGCTCTGGTGTCAGGCATCAAAAACCATCTCGGAGCCCTAAGAGCTGCTCAGTGAATACTGCGTGAGCAAGTCCATCCAATCAGTCGCTGGGCGAACGGCTGCACCACTTGCTAGTGACAATGGCAACCATGACAACATCCAGTATGAGGGGTCTCAGCCTGGGCACTGTGGACACTGGGCGTGGGATATTCTGGTTGAGGGACACTGTCCTCCTTGCTGCATGGTGTCTAGCAGCATCCTGGCCTCTGTCCACTGAGGATGTGCTGGGAGACATCCCCAGGAAGCCTCTGGGGCTACACAGTAGAACCCTCCCCCCGGGGCTAGGCAGGCCTGGCCTCCTCCACCTGACTGTGTGATGCCCTAGTTCTAGACTGGCTGGTGCAGCCGAAGCCGCGGTGGCTGGGAGGCAACGGCTGGCTGCTGGATGGCCCCGAGGAGGTGCTGCAAGGTGAAGGAACTACGAGGAGCTGCCCCTACGTCTGGCCAGGGGCCCGGAAACGCCAGGCTGTCTGTCCCCATGCAGGGCCCAGCCCTCCTGATCCCCACCCGGCAGTGGAGGTGGCAGCTGGCACCTCCCCCCAGACCCCACAGCCCTGCCCAGGAGCGAGGCTTGAACTCCCCAACCACAGCGCCCCCTTTGGGATGCAGAATGGGAAGGACGGGGCTGGGTCCCTGGGGTAAGGGGTGGACAGTGGCTTCTACAGGAAGGACCTGCGGGCCAGGCCCAGTGGGGCAGGTGGAGTGTGTATGTGCATGTGAGCGCACACCTGTGCCTGGGGCTCCACACTCATCTGTGTGTGTGAGTGTCTGGGTGGCGGCACAGTCGTGTCTGTGTGCAGAAAACTGGCTGTATGTGCAAGTCTGTGTGTGACTGTGAGTGTGCCCTTGTGACTACAGATGTGAGTGCACACATTTCGTGAGGTGCCTGGCACACGCGGATGAGTGTCACTCTGTGTGGAGGGCCTGTTGGGTCCTGTGACTGTGCTGCCCCATGTGCATGTGTGCATGTGTGTGTGTGTGTGTGTGTCCAGGGTATGCCTCTGCTGTGGAAGGGGGGCTAGGCAGGTGACAGGCACCTCTCTGTGAGGCGTGGGGTCCGAGCCCGGCTTTGTCCTCACGCCTGGTTCCTGTCCCTCCCACAGCAGAGGCCTGCAGCACCACCGAGGATGGCGCGGAGCCACTGCTCTGTCCCTCTGGCTATGAGTGCCACATCCTGATCCCAGGAGACATGGCTGAGGGCATCCCCAACCGAGGGCAGTGTGTCAGGCAGCGCCGGCAAGCAGGTGAGTATGGGTGCCCTGCGCCTGCTCCTGGCCCCACGGTCCCTGCCCCAGGAAATGTCCCCAGCACCCTGAGACTGGCCCAGAGCTCCTCCACCCCTCACTGCTGGAGTCTCTTTCCTGTCACAAGGCACACTGGAGCCAGCAGACTGACTGCATCCCAGCTGTGTTCCAGGCTGGGCGACTTGGAGTCACCTTCCTCAGCTCCTGGAGCCTCAGCTCCCTCACCCATGTAGTGGGGCTAATTCATGCTGCTATGGGAACAATAGAAATCTCGGGTGCAAAGCCACAAAGTGAGCTAGGAAATGAGAGGTGGTCAGCAACAGTCATAGGCGGTCAGGGCTGTGTTGTAAGAACTGTAAGACGGGAGTCAGCCACGCCAGCTCAAACCTGTTCTCCAGGTAACCGATCAGCACAAAAAGACCCACTTCCGGGGTGGAGCCAAAGAAGAGCAGACAGACGGTGGCCGTATCATCAGGGGGGCTAGCAGCTGCTTGCCCCCCTGCAGGTGCCCTGTCTGAGTTCCACTGCAGCCTGCAAAAGAGAAATGTAGCCAGGCACAACAGCACAGGCCTTTTTTATTTTTATTTTTGTGTGTGGTCAGCTTTTTTTTTTTAATTAAAGATTGCAAAGATACGTGATAACAAGAAATGAAGATACTAAATAAAAATTCCGAATATACATATATATGACAGCAAAAAAGGATATGAAATAAACAAGAATTTATGTAACACAGACTAATCAAAATACATTAGTTTGATATGCTCTTCAAACATTATGTTCTTTCTCATTTTCTTATATTTTTGAAATAATGTAATTATAAATAAAACAAAGTTACATATTATAGTTGAGAAACTGTCCTCAAAATTTTATGATTTATAAACTCCTTGGTTTAATTAATTGATAAATATCATATACTTGTTGATTGTACCACTTACATTTTCTAACAAAACTTCCCACAGAAAAAAATATACTTATATTTGAAATCCAAAAGCAACTAAAAAAAATTCACATTTTTAAGATCAGATTTTTCTGTTTCTATTTTATTATATCCCATACTTATTTTTATTATATTTTTATAAGCATAATGATAGAATTTAACACCAATAGATATGTAATATTCTTCCCAAACAAATGACTATGAATTAAGTCAAGCATGTAATTTAAAGAAATCATACGGTTGCCAGAGAAACTATCAATATGCCAAATGTGCACAATCCTACCACATTCATGCCCATGTTTCTCATTTAATAGTGCACACATATATGTAAAAACATACCCCCCACACATATACACAATGCATATTTTCTACAATACAATATATACTTAGGTATAATAAAACAGTGCAGTGATGTGTGGAATGTTGGTGATTTGTATAATTTGAGAAAAAACATATCTTTGAGGGAGTTGGAGAATTTGTAATATGTATCAGATACTAAATGATATTAATGATTAAGTATAGTTATAATAAAATTTACTTAAAAATTAATATTTGTCATCAGTAGAAAATAGGTACAAAGATATATTGATAACATAACAACATTTATCTTAACAAATTTCCAAACAAGCTGTAGTGACAGAAAAGGAAGTTTGTAGAAAGCAGAGATGAAAGAGGAAAATGACAGATGGGCCTTAATACTTTTCATGCTGCTCATATATACAGATTTCATAAATTCTCAAATAAAAAAGCAAAGAAAATGAGAACCAAAATAACTCATCAATTTGGTAGACCAACATATAGAGACAAGGATTAGTGTATTGATAAATTTTAAAAATATGAAATGTAAAGCCTGAAATTTAGCTCAATAGTGCTGCACCTGCCTAGCCAGAACAATGTGCTGAGTTTTAATCCCCAGCATCAGAGGAAGAAAAACAAAAAGGAAAAAAAAAAGAAGAAAAGAGGAAAAAAAATAAGCATATATACTTTCTGACATACTCAATAAATTTTAAATAAATTATTTGTTATCTCTTCCTCTTGAATTGTTCCCTTCACAAGGATGTAGTGAGCTTCTTTGTCTCTTTCAATCAGTTTAAGTTTGAAACTTTCTTTGTCTGTGAATAAGATTGCTACCCCTGCTTTTTTCACTTTCAGTCTATGGGCTTCTTTTTACACTAGAAGTGTTTTGCATACAACATATTATTGGATCTTGCTTCTTAGTCCATTCTGCTGGTCTATTTCTCTTGATTGGTGAATTGAGGCCTTTAATATTGATGGTTATAACCAATATGTACCAACTTATTATTATCATGTGGTTTTTTTTTTCAGCTTTGAGTTTATTGGTACATTTTAGGGGTACAGTACAGTTACATTCATTGTTGGGATCTTGTACCTCTACATAACAAGTCTTGATTCTCATTTTTCCCCCTTACCCCTGCCCTCACTTCACCCCCTCCTCCCCTATCATGTGGTGTTTTTTTTGTTGTTGTTTTTTTTTCCTCCTTCTCCTTTTGGTTTCTTGGCTTGCCTATTTGATTTGCTCTGTTGGGCCTCATTGTGTTGGTACCTTCATTGTCTTTTTCTAGGATATTGTTTAGAATTCGTTGTAGTGCTGGTTTGGTATTCATAAAGTTTCTCAGGTTTTCTTTATCCTGGAAATATCTTATTTCCCCATCCATTTTAAAAGAAAGTTGTGCAGGATACATCAGTCTAGGTTGGAGGTTGTTTTCTTTTAGTACTTGAAATATCTCATTCCAGACTCTCCTTGACCTAAGGGTTTGTGTTGAACAGACTGCTGTGATTCTAATGGGCTTTCCTTTGCATGTAGTTTGTTTCTTGTCTCTTACTGCTTGTAGTATTTTGTTCTTCTGTTGGGTTTCTGGGATCTTGATTATTACATGTCTAGGTGTAGATTTTTTTTTAACATGGCTAGTTGGAGTCCTATATGCCTCACTTATCTGTATGTCAAATTCTTCCCCTCTATTTGGGAAGTTTTCTATAATTAATTCTGTGAACAGCTTTTTAAAATTATTTACATTTTCTCCTACTACTTCTTGAATTCCTATCAATCTTATGTGATTCTTCTTAGTATTGTCTAAGAGTTGTTGTATCAATTTCTCACGATCTCCTACTGTTTTTAAGAGACCTCTCTTTTCACCGTCACTGACTGCAATTTTATCTTCGATATCTGAGATTCTATCTTCGGAACAGCACAGGCCTTTAATCCCAGCACTCTGGGAGGCTGAGGCAGGACCATCACAAGTTCAAGCCCAGCCTGGGCAACTTAGTGATTTAGCAAGACCCTGTCTCAAAATAAAAACAACAAAAGGACTGGGAGCCCAGCTCAGTGTTAGGGCCCTGGGTTCAACCCAGGGACTGAAAAGCAACGCGACGTGATGGGCCTTGATGTGATGGGAAACCAGGGTGTGAGGTTAGCATCGCAGGCTCAGATCCTCAGAAATGGGCTCACAGCCTAGGACTCCTGCCTGGTGGCCCTGGGCGCTCACCTGACCCATCCCAGCCGCAGTCTCCTCAGCTGTAACATGGGTGGGGCAGGGGCCGCGGCAGCGCTCCATGGTGCTGTGACTGAGTAGAGCGGTCACAGGAAGAGCGTGGCGTCCAGGGTGGTGCTCAGGACGGCCTCAGCCACTGGGTACCACTGCCATGCCCACCGCCGGAAGGGGACCTCAGGTCCAGAAGCCCTCAGAGGGTGGCGCGAGCATCCGGGTGCAGGAGGCCCGGCCTCCTCATCCTCCAAGGCAGTCAAGGCTGAGCCCAATGGCCCCTCATGCCCTGCAAATTCCTTGTGCTTCCTCCCGCTCCCTCTCCCATGCTGCATAAACCTCTCTGTGCATATCTGACCCTTTTGAGAGTTGGTAACAGAGCTCAGGGCCCCAAGAACCAGTCTCCCCTGCCAGGCTTCCCAGGTCGGTGGCATGAGAGCTCTCTGGCTGGGTCAGGAGCAGGCACTGGGGGACCAGGGAATCCCATCTGGGAGTCAGAGGGGCATCAGTGACTTTTCTGAGCAGGTTCAAGGTCACTGAGAAGCTGGGGTGCGGCACAGGAGGAATTAAGTGGGACTCATGCAGCCTTGGACAGGAGACAGTTTGTGTGACACAAGTGACACCAAAACCAAAAATGGCATTGTATTACTTTGCGGGGTAGGGGGGTGCTGGGGATCGAACTCAGGCCCTTGGGCTTGCAAGGCAGGTGGCAAAACCGCTGAGCAAAATCCCTGGCCCCCGTCATATTACTTTTTGTGCAGTTCCTTTAGTTCATGAATGAAGAGAGGCTGTCCAGCTGTGATACCACTCTGCGCATAACCCTGGGAAAATGAGCAGGACAGATGTAAATCATCCCATGTTTTGAAAAAGTTGACCTCATAAACTCTAAAAGGACTTTATCTTCTCACTGTGTTGCAGATGGGCGATTCCTGCGACGCAAATTTTACAAAGAATATCCAGGTGAGGGAAGAAACCGTTCTTTCCCTGCAGAGGGCATGAAAAAGAAAAATGTGCATTTCTTAGGTGGAGAAGAAGAAAAAACAAAACCCCAGAGCTGAGATGTAAAAGGGAAATGGGAGCCAAGAGTCGGAAGGGAAGCAGAAGCCCCATCGCCTCATAGCAGGCAGGACAGGCGTGAGCCAAGGGGTCCTCACTGCAAACGTGGGCTCGTGCTGAATCCCGGAACGTGGCGCTGGACACACTCACGTCCTTCCTGCCTTCGTTAGGGAACCAGAAATGATGGCTAACGCCATTCTTCATTCATCCACTTAATCTTTCATCCAGTCGATTCTCCCTTCATTCACCTACTCGCCCACCCTTCCATCTAATCACCCATCCACTCGTGCATCCATCCACCCAACCATCCACACATTTACCTCTCTTTCCATCCAGGTACCACTTGCCCACTCATGCACATCTAATCGTCTGTTATGTGTCTATGCATGCACGTATTCGTCTCAGTTGCTTTTCTCATTAGAGACAAAATACCTGACACCCGAAGTTCAAGGAGGAAAGGTTTAGTTTGGCTCACAGTTTGGCTCACAGGTTTCAGTCCACAGTCAGCTGGATCCAAGGCCAAGTGGCATGGCAGAGGGGTGTTGCCGAGGAGAAACAGTTCACTAGAGGCAGAAGTCAGCAAAGCAGTGAAGCAGCAAGCAGTAAGCAACAACAGCCTCTTTCTGTCCCTTAGGTTCTGTCCAGGGTATCTGGCCTTAGGGCGGGTAGCGCTCACACCCAGTGTGGGCCTTCTCATTATCCACACCCTGAACTATGCCAAACCAGTCAATGGACTAATTTAGTAGTCAGGGCCAGGGATACAGCTCAGCGGTACCGTGCCCACCTGGCAAGCGCAAGCTCCTGAGTTTGATTCCCAGTACCCCCAAAAGAATTTACACCATGAGTTTACCAAGCATTGCTCATCCTTCTGTTCTGGAGGTCAAGCCTATAGATGCAGGTGTGAAACACCCAGCACCTTCCACCAGGGAGCTAAGAACAGCTAGGAAATCCAGCACCAATGACACCCGAGTGGTTATGTAAGAGGTTCTGATGTCACATATCGGATATCAGGAGGACAGCGTGGACCATGCTGTCTAGGAAGGCTTCCTGAGAAGGGGCCTAAAAGCTCAGCCTCAGGAAAAGGAATGGAGGGCAGGCAGGGAAGGGTGAGAAGCTCCTGGCTGGGAGCAGCGTGGCTGTCCCTGCAGCTGGTGGGTGTGACAAGCAAGGCGGTGTGGCCGCGGTGAGGCCAGAATGCAGGCGGGGCCCTGATGAGGTGAGGGCCTGTGGAGGGGACGAAATGGATTCATCCAGGGGTGGGGCCCGGGCCCAGCTCACCAGGCCTAGCTGAGGCACTTGTGTCTCCCCTGGCAGGCACAGGGGAGCCATGGTGGGCGTTGGAGGTGGGCTGGACACACCGGCCCTGATGGCACCTCCCTCTTGTTGTAGATGGTGACTCCAAGTATGTGGCAGAGCCGGGAAGGAACAACACAGGCCCTTCCAATAAAGCACCGGGCAGGTAAGTGGGGAGAGGGAGATGCTGGGGGGCGGTGCAGGCAGTTGGGGGTCCTAGTAACTTTCGTCACATGCTGGTGGCAGGGGTGACAGAGTAGGGCTTTCCTCGCGGGCAGAATCTGACTCCCTCATAGTTTCCTAGTGACTGCAGAACTCCACCTGACATCAAGTGGACGCATCCCTGTGCCCCCGGGGACCTAAGGCCAAGGCCACACTAGGGGCCGACTTGCCTTTCCAGGCCTTAGCATCTCCGATGTCCCTAAGTCTCCTCTGTCTCACCCCACTTCCGCCAAACGATGCCATCAGGGCCACTGGCAGGGGCGGTCTCAGGCACCCTGCTGCTAGGCAGCAGTTCCTGGCTGCGTACTTCGTGCCAGGCATCCTTGGAGGGCAAGACAGTGAACAGATGTGGCCAAGTCCCTTCCTGGCAGATCGTGGAGCGACGGACTCACCGGTGTCGTGGAGCAAGTGACAGGGATGAGGAACAGAACTCCACGGGGCCAGCGAAGGTCCCAGGAGGAGGTGACATGGAGCCTGAGGACTGGGCACCAGAAGGTGCTGCCGGGGAGGATGGGCTGGGGATCAGCACCGGGCAGAGGGAGTGGGAGGAGCAGAGCTCCCGAGGGTACAGGCTGGGCTTTGGGGAACGGAAGGGAGGCCCCGGGCACGGGGACACAGTGTACAGAGGCTGACCCCAGGAGCCAGGCGAGTGCAGGCTCTGCCTCAGGCGGGAGTGAGTGAGCCACAGCAGGGGCCGTGTGCGCACAGGAGCCACCTGCGCAGGGCCATGAGGTCGCAGCACCCAGGTCTCCACCCATCACGGGCACAGAAAAGCCTGCAAACACACGCGGCCCCTGGAGCTGGGAAGGGAAGCAACACTTGTCGGGCTCCAGAGTACAGGGTGGGTTCTCCGGGAAGATCCCCAGCGGTGGGATGGACGCCAGCCAGTCTCCCTCTGGAGGCCTGCACTGTGCCTGGCTGGTAAAGACCCAGCCAGGACCTGTGAGCTTTCACCAGCAAAGTCTGGCTGCGGAGGAGCAGGCCTGTCGGGGAGTGGGCTTTGGGGCGGCCCCGCCTGGCTTTGAGGTCCTGCTCCCTGGCTGTGTGACCTGAAGAAAGAGACTCTCAGCCTGTTTCCTCATCTGTGGAGTGGGAACGAGGGTGAGGGACAGGTTGGAAACTGAGTCAAATACGTGAGATTTTTCGGGAGCTGGATATGGTCATACACGCCAGCAGGCTGAGGCAGGATTGCAGGTTCAAACTCAGACTGGGCAATTTAGCAGTTTAGTGAGACCCTGTCTTTAAAATGGAAAGGCTGGGAATTGTAGCTCAGCAACAAGGTCCTGGGTTCCATCCCAGTACCACCACCACCACCCCAAAAAAAGAAAGAAGGAAAGAGTGGATGAATTTTTCTGGGAGTTAAGAATTTAATCTTCACGGAAGCTGACATCTTCCTGGTACTTCTGGCCAGGCAGGGCAGGTAGGGGATGCGACAGATTGTGACCAACTCCGCCTCCTGCCCCAGGGTAGCTCAGATTCCTTGCTTCCTTTCCAGCCCATGAGCACGAGCACTCCTCCACTTCCTAAGCCTTGGACATAGCAGGGGACACAGCTGGGCTCCAGAGCTCAGGCTCTGCCCTACAGAGCTCCTTAGAGACGGGACAAGTGGCTCCAGAAGCCGGCCTGGCCCCAGCCCAGTCTGCAGGTGTCCTGAGCAGCTCTGGGTTCCTGCTTTGCACCCTGGGCCCTGAGCAGCCACTCCACCATCTTCACACTAGGAAGAAACCACTGCCCTCAATGGGGTAAAGGCCTCTTTCTGCATTGGAGTTCAGCATCTTGGTTTATTTTGCGCATTACTTCCGGGAGGCAGTGCCTGTTCCAGATGTTCTCAGAATAAATTTGCCCATCATAGAATGGCACTGAACTTACGTGTGTGAGTCATAGTTTTAACCACTCGATGGCCTTAAGTTGGATGTGCTGAAGCCTAAACGTAAGCTGGGGGGCGGGGGGTGCTCAGGACAAAATGAGGCTGGGTCTCTGGGGTTTCTGTCTTGGTCCCTGACTGATCCTGAGGTGGGAGGCAGGTGGGTGCTGTCAGGAAGAGGTGTTGGCTCAGCTCTGCTCTCGGTCCCCGCACATGTGGGCCACAAACCTCCCCAATGTAGCCTGGGACCCTCTGCAAGAGACCACAGGAGGGGCTGCTGGACGAGGCTTATGAAGGTTCCTGGGGAAAGCAGCAGGGAAGGGACGTGGGAAAGGATGAAGGGATGGTCAGGCGAGAGTGAGGAGCCCTGGGTGTCCACGCGCAGCTGTGGCACGGCACTGGGGCACTGGAGGCAGGCCGAGCCCATGGGCTGGCTTTGGGGCAGGAAGCCTGAGTGGCCACGCAGAAGGCCCAGGCTTGGTGCAGTGATCCACTGTCGCTGTCTTGTAACTCAGGAATGCGGGTACAAGGGACCCCCTTGTCCATCTCCAGTTGATGTGGGAGGCCCTGGGTCACAAAGCCGGGCACTTTGGGGTTGGGCAAGGGAGCCAGAGTATTTATAATACAGAGATAAAGGCAGGTGCCCTGCCTACCAAGGACAAGGCCATCCTACCAAGGATGATGACCCAAAGGGACTGGGCCAAGCCCCGGGTGTACTACATGCTCCAAGTCTGAACACTCTCAACAAAAATGTGCACTTACTCACAGGCTCTAACCAGTGACCAGTCCCTCGCAAATCAGCCCAGACACTGCGGTTAATCCGGCACAACGTGACATTTTACATCCCAAAATGGGCTGCTACCAGGCACCTGAGGCTCAATATTTTAAAACAAGCACCTCTCCGGGGTCCCCAGTTCCTCCGACCCACCCGCAAGGCCATGTGTCCACCAGTCCCCTAGAGATGGACGGAGTCCTAGGCGACAGCGGTGGGCAGCCAGGCTGGGGGCGACTCGGGGAGACTCGAAGATCCTGTACTGCCCTTCAGACCCGGGAGGGACGCTGCGCTGCACTCGGCCTCCTCTGGTCGTCCCCAGCCCTGAGCAGGGTCCCCTCAAGGCCCCTCCATGCCATCTCTGCGAGCTCGCCAGTGTGCAGCCTCGCTCCAGAACACCTGCACGATGGGGAAGGTGGGAGAGGCCCTGAGCGTCCTGCCACAGGGGG